AAAATGGGTTCATGTTCTTTGCATAGAAGAACACGTGCTTTTAAGGCCTAAAATCTGTGTAATACGTGAAGGAGTCCTGAAGGTGCCAGAAGGTTCATTCTCATTCTAATCCATTTTAATTCTAATCCAGATGGTGTCTTAGCTTGGCAGGCTGCCTGAGAAACAGCCATAGGGATCAGTTGTTTAGGGCTCTGATTCCTAAATGGGGTGAATACCCACGATTTAACATTGACCTAGAACAGTGTTTCTCAACCTTGATAACTTTAAGATGTATGGACTTCAACTCCCAGAATTCCCTAGCCAGTTATGCTATGCTAGGGAATTCTGGGAGTTGAAGTCCACACATCTTAAAGCTGCCATGGTTGAGAAACACTGACATAGAAGATGGCTCTAGACTTTGCTCTCTTCCACATGGGATGCTGCCATGCTTAGTGTTCTTACATCTCTTGTGAAACAGCAGGAAAGTCATACCTGTGACTGTCTTCATGCCAGTTCCTGCTCAATAAGGTTTTCGGAGTGGCCTCATGCTAGGACTGGGGTTTAATATTTTCAATTATTTTATGGCCTTGCCCATTCCCGTTGACACAGATCTCTTTCCTAAGCTGGCTAGAGTAGCTTTGCTCCAATGACCTCATTTATTATGACTTCTGGAGATGAATGAAAGGTTGCATTGTCCCCTGTAACTTAGTGGCAGAACCAGCTCTCCAGAAAAGGTCTGTTTTTGTTTGCAAAGAGCAGGGCCCAATGATATCTCACCTAGCAGATGCCGAGACCCGTTTTTCAGCTTCTGCATCTTAAAACCAACTTCAGATTTCAGGGCTTGATCCAAGGCTACGTCTTAAGACCTTTGAAATCTCAGCCTGGCTGAGGAAACACCAATTTGAAGGAAGCAAATCATTTGGGGAAAATTGGAGTGTAATTCTGATAAGGCTTGTTTTAATGGGATGATAAGAGAGGGAAGAGAGGAGAGCTCTGTTGGTTTTTGGAGGGACGTCTGCCGGTCTGCCTCAAATCAGCAGCAAGTTTGATATACCACAGTTCTGGAACGATAGGCTTACGAGGTCAGATATAGGAGGTTAAGAAAGGCAGTAGCTGGTGAACCGTCCACAATATTGTTCAGCTCCCGTGTAGTGAGAACCTCCATGCATCTTATTTTTCAGTGAACGCATCATCCTAGTTGATTCTGCTCCCCAATGGTAAAAATGCCCCAGTCTTCTTTCTGTATGGAATCACATTTTCAGAAAAAGAGTTGTTTAGGAGTTAGTCCTCATCTTCAAGTGACATCATAAGCATCCTCGCGGGGAGTCAGTTAATGAGATGTGCGTTATGACATCATGAAGCAAACACCATGACTTCATGATATTGGAATGGGTGGGGTTTGCATCACGGCTTCGCTGCATGCCTCTTGTCGTTTTGATGTGCTCTTGGGTTTGGTGTAAACATCTGGGAGTGATGGAGAGCCCTAAACTGACATCATACTTTGAGAGCAGTTTAGTTCATTTTCTTCGGGGCCTAAATGTAAAACCTCAGAGCACGTCAGCTCATCAATATTGCCTAGCCTGCTCTGTTGTGTCTACAGCAAGAATCTTGAAGGATTTCAGAATTTATGGGGGGGAAAATAACCATTTTTAAGTGCTAACCCACCTAAGTGCTAAGAACTAGAGATGACTTGAGAGACAGCTGTCCCCTGTTTACACAGATAATTCCCTGGTGTCTTGTACTAATACGTTCAATTTGGTTTCATTAGCTACGACTCCCTTTCCCCCAGATTGTATTAGAAGGGGGACTTTTGACATGCTGGAGTTGTTAATGTTTCAGTGTTGGGTTTTGTGGACATTTTTACTAGACGATAACAACATCCTTTTGTAATATGATACAGGCTTTTGTGGGAGGTTGTTTCATCCAAACATCATAATTTCACAAATGGTGAAAATTGTTTTCTCTCTCCTGAGACCGCTAGCTCACATTTATTTCATGAGAAAAGATTGTGAATAAATGTTCAAGCATCCTAATTTCAGAAATGATGAAAATTGTGTCTAAATGTTCACCCCTGGTTCATTGAGACATCAGAAGTTAAGGAATGGAGATCTGATAGGTTTATTTTATAATATTTTATGAAGTTACTGGAGTCCACGTTGCACACAGACACGCGTGCATAGATATGTAAAGAATTAAGATCTATCGGTTCAGTACTTGGTCATAATAATAGTTCTGCATATTGATTTTAGGCAATAGTTTAAAATGCAGGAGTGAAGAATCCCAGATTTCATTTTTTAAAAATCAATTTCTAGTCCTTCTGTTGTCAGAAGAACTCCTTGAAAGTTGACCACCGATTCTGCTAAAAGTTGCCAAAGATACCATCGATGAGGATCGACAATCCCTTCACATGGCCTCATTTCACTAACCCTTATTAGAGTAATCAGAATAAACAAAGTGAGGCCAACATGTGGAAAAGTGTAGAATTTATGCAATCCTGTGTAAGTCCTGGACCTTTCTGATATGATAAAAGTTTGGATGGCGTGAACAATAAAATGTATTGCCTTTATTCCAGAGGCATGGGGGGGTTCAGAAATCAAGATAGTGGCCACAACAGTGCAGTTGGACCCCACCCCACCCGTTTTCTACATGCATTGCATGTGCGCTGCCGGTGAGGAAGAGGCTGCACAATCCTTACCATTATCTTGACTTTTTTTTAACTCCATCCTGCGGACTCCCCTGATTTATTAGTTTCCCCCCCAGTTCTGTGTAGCTTCTTCTCTTTGAGGGTCTGTCAGGAAGCATACTGGAGAGCGAAGCCTCTTGACTTCATTGAGTCTTTCTTTGAAGCAGCCCTGGGTCGGCTCAGACTGGAACACAGAGAAAGGCTCTCCTGGGGTTGGCGGATTGAAAAAAATGTACCGTCAGCCTCACATGGCGAAATGATTAACCAGCCCCTTCAGTGGCTCTGCACAGGATTATTCCAGGGCTGCCCCTGATAATTCCCCATCTGTTTTTTCAACCTTCCAGGCAGCGCTGAGAGTCCCCCCCCCGGCCCCCAGCCCATTTTGTTAACAAAAGAGAAGCAAAGCAAGTCATTCCCTGGGCGGAATAGAAGTTTCTCTGCATTCTCACATTTTCAGGCCACCAGTGGCTCCAAAATGTGGCTAAGAGGCTGGTTGGATCTCCTTTTACTTCCTGAGTCTTGCTACGTCCCACTTTGGTTACTGTCCCATCTCTGTACGGAGGAACAAACAAACGCTTTTCTACGTGGAGTTACATTTATTAGCACCATGTAGCCTCCACTCTGATCTTTTGGTTCAGTTCTGTTTTTTAAGCGCTCCAGAAAAGGAAGCGTGTTACTTAGGAAATGTGCAGGAAGAGTTAACAGGACAATATTGCCCCAAACCATTTCCTACTCTATTTCTGTGGGTTTTACTATCAGGATACACAAAAGTAATATCCAAGCCTGAATCCTTTCTGGAACGTGATGGAAAGGGGCAAGGAGGCCAATGGCAGAACGACCCCTGATTTGTTCTGCTCTCTTTGCTGAATGGCGATTTCCAAATCTGAACTAGGGAATATGTACAGAACCATAGTTGGCCAAGGAGCGCCCTATAACTAACTCTTGCATTATATACAGGTAGGTCACAATTAGTGCAAGTTCCAATAATGCAATATTCGATGTAGTGCAAATTGTAAATTGATACCAGCTCGTGTTTAATGCGACCTAAAATTCAGTTAACACAAGGCTAGTCCGTGCATGGTTGCAGTTGGGGTTTTAGACACTGCTAATCTTTGTGTGTGCAGAATGGAGGAAAAAAAGATTCTGTCAGAGGAAAATAGTACAAGTTTTAAAAAGAGGCTTGTTATGACATTAGAGCAAAAATTTGATGTAATGGAGTGACATGAACGTGGTCATAGCAATGCCAAAATAGGATGAGATGTTAGAATGCCTGAATCTGTGGCAGAACTTAAAATAAAATTTATTTAAAATAAGTAAATAAAATGTATTCATTTAGCACATTTCTATGGTCGCCCATCTCACTAAACGTGACTGGCTGGCGTACAACCAATAATTAAAACAATATCACATCTATTAAAACACTTTAAAAATAAATAAAAACAAGATGAATAAGGTAAGAAAAACAAGGCTGCGGGAGAACACCCATCTAAACACAATACAACCATCACGCAGACTCCCAGGAGATCCCACGCCTAATTTTGCTTTCTCTAACTACTCTGTGACTTTGTTAACCGTAAATTTAAATTATAAGTATGTTCTTGTTATCCCTTACTGTAAGAGTTCATTAATATACATAGCCAAAACGATGTACACAATTCTTCATTGCCTATTTCGGTCAAGCTGGAACGGATTCCCCGGTTTTCCATAGAAATATCACTTGGAAGAGAGTGCATTCAAATCATGAGACCTGCCTGTCACGCGTCCTGAAGTTCAAGAGGTGTTGATCAAGGAGGCATATCTTCTGCTCCTTGCGTCTGCACCGGGGCTAACTTTCAGCTTTTTGTTCCGGAGTTTCAAAGTTGGAAGTCACGTTAACCTTCTGGCAATTTAATTTTTTTTTTACTACATTCTCTTCTTGGGCAAGGCTGTTTGGACCTTCCCCCCTTCCCCTCCCCTCTTTCCTTTAAGTGCTCGCAGCCTCCTTGCGTCAGATGGAGAGGCCGGCTTCTGGAAATAAGTTGCAGATATTTTCCCCGTCCAGTTCCTGGACTGGGCAGGATACACTGGAGGGTTTCTACAGGAACAGATTGGGGCGACATCTCCCCGGCTGCTGCCCCCGTGGCTCCCGCCGGAGCATGCCCAGTGCAAGCCTTGACTTGGGGTCCAGCATCCCGTTTGCAGTCTGGGGCTGCCCCTAAGGGACCGTGGAGGAGGCTTCGGCCAGCTGCAAGTCTTTGTCTCGGGGAGAAGGAGCAAAAGGGGGTGGTCTCCAAGGCAGCAGGATTTGCTCTGCATGATCCAAGAACTCAACCCTTTGTGGGGGGGGTCTTTCTGAAACATGCTCGCCGGCCTGGCCCGGGGAACGTTGTGGGATGTCGTGCACGAGAGCTTCACGGAGGTAAAGGATACTTGGGCTTCGCTGCCCGGCAGAGCTCAGTTCCTCTGGGGCTGGAAGGGGGGTGGGAT